GGTTTTCCCTACTTCAGAGCAGAGTGCTTGCCCCTGGGTTCAATTATCACTGCCAACTCTCATATATCAGCACCCAGCCTCCCATGGAGCCTCTAGAGATAACAAACTCCCTATAGTCTTCTTTTTCATTCAAATTGCATGTTGCTCACATTCCAAAAGCTCTAAGAAGTGGGAGGGTTGAAAAGGTTTATTTCAGAGAACTGGCACCCAAGGGCTGCCACAATTGCTGGCATTCCAGGGCACAAGAAACATTTGGCAAGAAGCAAAAAACACTCTTAAACATGACTTGGTTCTAATTTCAAGACTCCCAGGCACCAAAATACATAGGACTTTAGAAAAATACTCAGTAATCCTCTTATTTTCCTTAGTTGCAAAAGACAATGTTCACCATAGCACATACCCTCCCCAATGTCTATCACCCAGCCACCCCATCCTTAGAGGGGAGGGGGGGATGGGTTAGCCCAGTGATGGGTATTAAGGAGGGCACGTACTGCATGAAGCACTGGGTGTTATACACAAACAATGAATCATGGAACACTACATCAAAAACTAATGATGTAATGTATGGTGATTAACATAATAAAATAAAATTTAAAAAAAAGAAATGAATGGGTAATTGGAAGATTTTTCCATAAAACAAGTTATTCATATTAAAGTCTGTCCTTAAGTCAAAAAAAAAAAAAAAGACAATGTTCACTTTCCAACCCTCTCTTTCTAGGAGAAGACCTCTCCTTTTTCTAGCCTAAGAAGGGTTGTTCTTTTGTGGGAACAACTTTGAAACACACAGAGCAGCCTCACTTAAAGGTTTCCAGTTTGGGGTTCCAGGGGAGAAACAGAAAGATACTGATGCCAGACCCTCCAATACAGTAACCCAGTAGAATTCGTTCCCCACCCCCCCACCCCCCGCAGTGAATGGATGCAACAGAACACCCAGCACTTGCACTGGGGAACGTTATACTAAATAGTACCCTACATATTCCTCGGCTCATTTCAGAACCCTTAGAACAAATACTACTAAGCCTATTATAAGAGTGTCAACAACCTGACCTCCAGAAAGAGCCTGCAATGACAATATCCGGAAAATGAGGCACCGTGATAAAAAGCCCCTGGGGAGGCACATACCCTTAGGGCCTAATTACTCCCCAGGTTCAACGAAAGCACAATCAGATTTGAAACTCTTTTTTTTTTTCTTCTGGTTTCTAAGGTGCTATTGCAGCTCAGTGAAGGCCCCTGGGAATTACTTTACCAGCTTAGCACATTCAGTCTTCCCGGAGGCTCTGTTCTCAGGGGAGAAGCATAGAACTTTAGAATTTTACTACCCAAAAAAGGCTTGGGGGGATTTCCCGAGTCTGTGACCACATTCATGACCTGGGTGCCTGGGGCCTAAGCTTCTAGCAAAGTGACAGGGGAGTCGGGAAGATCAAGTAAGAGCCCTCCTCAGCTTCTCATGCAATTCGTAGGAAGCTCTCGGTTAATAGAAAGGAAAGGTCACTTCAGTAATGAGCTCCCGAGAAGCCTCCCTGGGGAAGGGCTGGTGCTCTCAACAGCCTGTTCCTACTTAAAGCCCTGTCCAGGCTGCAGGGTGAGCACACAACCCAGTTTCCTAAGGCAACCCTGTTGATGGATGCTTGATGAGCAAGTCCGGTTATTAAGAGCTCCCAATTTCATTCTCCTAAGTGTCACAGTTTGGATGCTAAATTATATGGGTCCCCTAAGGAAGGGCGACTGAGTTCTAGAGCATATTTTGCAGGTTTACCTGTTTCATGGAACACATACCTCTCCAAGTCCACCACTGGTTTCAGGACATACTCTGGGCAAATTCTTTCCACGTCTCTGTAGACCCAGCAGTGGGAGAGCCAGGAGAACAGCAGGGTGAGGTGGAGCCCAGCTGCCTGGGTTTATATCTCAAGTCCCTCGCATTTAACAGCAGTGAGACCATGGACTTCTAACAGCTTCCATTTGAAATCAAAATGGCGATAAAAGTAATTGCTAAGGGAATATTCGTAATCAGCACTCTATAAATGTTTGATAAGTAAAAAACAAATATGTAGTCTTTATGTCTAATAGGTAAGTGAATTTCTACAAAGGGATGGTGAGCTTCTAGTTCCCCTCCCTACTCAAGGACTTCTTGCTGACATAAATAAAACCTCCCTGCCCAATCCTGGGTGGTGCTGGCTAGGAACAGAGTGCTGCAGGCTTGGAATGGAGTAACCGCTGCTGGGAGGGTGCCCTTTTCCCAGGCAGTATATAATCAACTACACTACAACTACAATTAAACCAGTTCAAGCAGAACAAAGAAACAGAGGCAACTCTCCTGGGTTGCAGTTGGCTGTCAGAGGTCACCAAGTATCTCCATCAGTACTTTTACGTGCTTAACGTGAAGAGAACTCTGCCTCCTCACATATTTGGCAACTGTGATTGCACACTTAATGCATGTGAGTCAGGCCTTCAAGAGCGTCAAAGGTGCTCTGACAACAACGAATTTTAGATGAAATTCAGAGCAACCGATTTAAGATGAAAACATCTCAGCATCTATCTCATGTATAAAATTCCATGTGTTGAATAAAAAAAAAAAAATCTCCTTAATTCTTCAGAGAGACACCTCTCTACCAGAGACAAAATAGGTGCTTAGGATAATCATCTCATAAAAGTGCGCTACACCACCCATCCTATTGAAAACGCAAATTACCAATCATCTAGATATTTGACTTTGGGAAAACATCAGCTTAGTCATTTCCTTTTCACTGCTGTCACAGTTCTGCCGTTGAGATCGTTTCAACCTTTCAGACATGATTTGAACACTCTACTAAGAGGATAAATTCCTATGCAACAGCTTCTTTGGAAAGAACTGGGTCCCTGAAGCGGTCTCAGCTACCTAACAGGGCACAGCACCGCACACACTAAAGACCTGGGAGAGGCAGGACAATGGAATGCTAGATAATTTTATCAAGAGTTGATTTTAAAAGGTGGCTGGGAGGCGGGCATTGCATGCATCAGTACGGATGCGCTGGTTTTTAGCTAAACAGTCCTCTCAGATTCACTTCACCGTCGTTCTGTCTAGTGAGTCACAGAGATGCGATTCCTAAGGTCTTAAAATTCTGAACAAATGCAAAGAATGCAAGTGAGAAGGCACCACACAAAAATATTAAATAAGAAGGCAGAGGGATATTAAGAACAAAAACAGGGGCGCCTGGGTGGCTCAGTCGGTTAACCATCAGCCTTCATTCAGTTCAGTTCATGATCCCAGACTCCTGGGATCCAGACCCCCATCGGGCTCCCTGCTCAAAAGGAAGTCAGCTTCTCCCTCTCCCTTTGCCCCTCCCCCCTGCTCGTGCGCTTGCGCCTCTCTCTCTCTCTCTCTCTCTCCTCCAAATAAATAATCTTAAAAAAAAAGAAAAAAACAAAAAGTCGGCCTGGCGCAAGAAGCCTTTCCATCAACCTTATTTTCGAGTGCTAAGAAGACGTTCCCATCCAACATTTCCTAATAATTACTTTTTTAAAAAAGATTTTATTTATTTATTTCAGAGAGAGAGAGAATGAGAGATAGAAAGCACGAGAGGGAAGAGGGTCAGAGGGAGAAGCAGACTCCCCGCCGAGCAGGGAGCCCGATGTGGGACTCGATCCCAGGACTCCAGGATCATGACCTGAGCCGAAGGCAGTCACCCAACCAACTGAGCCACCCAGTCGCCCCCTAATAATTACTTTTTAATCAACTAAGAAAACCAAGTCATTTCCAGCACAGATACCTAACTATTAAAAGAGTTTTACGGACCTCTAAAATAGAAAAGACAGGGCGCCTGGGTGGCTCAGTTGGTTAAGCGACTGCCTTCGGCTCAGGTCATGATCCTGGAGTCCCGAGATCGAGTCCCCTGTCGGGCTCCCTGCTCAGCAGGGAGTCTGTTTCTCCCTCTGACCCTTTTCCCTCTCGTGCTCTCATTCTCTCTCTCTCTCAAATAAATAAATAAAATCTTTAAAAAAAAAATAAAAATAAAATAGAAAAGACAGAAAGGAGTGTAAGTATTCATCACCCATTTACTCTGATTTCATTAATTTAATGCAAATTTCCTTCAAAATAAGATGAGCAGGGAATCCGACAAACGCTAATTCAGACTCCACACCCCAAAATCCTACTAGCTCACATTTTAAAGAACCCGCTTTAGCAAAAACGGGGAACTCCCCCCCACACACACACACATCAGGGGCGCAACTTTCCAGCCCGGGGCCGGGCGGGGTGCCTTGGAGGGAGGGCAGGAGCGTTGCGTTCAACCCGGAGCTTCCACTCTCAACCGCTTCAACAAGTTCCCTCTCTAGGCTCCGGCAAATCACGCCCACCACCCAAACTCTCCGTGGAATTTTTCTCTCGAAACTGAAGACCGTGCGCTTCATTTTCACGCGCAGGAACGTTTCCTCGCGCTCACTGCTGCTACTTCCCTGGTATTCCGTGACATTTTCCCACAACTACGGGTCCGCGCGTTCGCACCTCCACCCGCCAACCCACTCCAACCTCAAACCGCACGCGGCCTGGATTCTGCGCCTGCGCCGCTCCCGGGACCACCGCCCCCCCCCTCCCCTCGGCGCGCATAGCCCCCTCCCCACTCCCGCCCTCTTTGAGGGAACTTGGGGTACAACGCATAAAGGTCACTCCTCAGTCTTCCAGACCCCGCCGCGGGAAGCGAGAGAAATAAGCAACCCCGGAGCGCGGGAGAAGGGGGGGTGGGCAAGGGTAGGCGGTGTTGGGTGGGGTTGGGAGCGGAGGGCAGAGCGGAGCAGGGGGGGAGGCCGGATGGGACCTTGTCACCAGGATCCCCACACAGTCAGCACCCGGACTTAGGCAGGTCCGCGAGGCTGGGGCTCTCCGCCGCTCGACCTTTCGGGTTCTCCCAGATGGTCTTTCGGGGGCGTCTCGGCACTGCACCCCGCTCAGCCCCCGGCATTGTTCGCGCTCCGCTAGCGCATCTGAGAGGCGCCGGGGGAAGCGCGGCCCGGGCCTCGGCCCCTACCTCCACGAGCAGCCCGAGCAGCAGCGCCGCCACCCTCCGGGGCAGGCGGCTCATGGCTCCGTGTCCTCTCCGGGTGTGCCCTGCTATCGAGTCGCAGGCGCGAGTCAGCAGCACGTCCCCCGTGGGGCGGGCGACAGGGCGGGGGTTCGGACCCCGCGCCAGCCGGATTTGGGGGCGCGGGGCGGCCGGCGGTGGCGAAGCTTGGACGCGCCGCGCTGCCCTCGCTGAGCTCCGCCCCGCGCTCCGCCCCCGACTCGCGCGCGCTCCCGGCACGCCCGCTTGGGCTCGCGCCCGCGGGCGCCCGGATCCCAGCCCAGGCGGGTCCACTCTGCTGCTGGGGAGCCCGGGTCCGCAACGCCTCGAGGCGCCCGCGGGGAGCGGGGAGAGGGGTTGCAGGGCCAGGCGAGCGGGAGAGGAGCTATCGGGTGTCTTCTTCTCCCTCGATGGAGACCGTCCTGTCACCCTCGAATAGACCCAGGAAGGTTCTGCAAAGACGCAAAGTCTTCGCGTGCTGAAGCTTGTTTCGGAGGGAGGTGGCTGTAGATCAGCCTGTCGCTCCGTCTCGCATCCTGTGCTTCTGTGTTCTTCACTCTCCCTCCTATTCCTACCAACCGCGGGCGCCGGCAGCCGTGCCCCCCGCCCACGTGTGACAGAAAGGACAGCCAAAAGGAGAGGGAGACGGACTGTGAATAGAAGGCTCCTTACACCTCACTTCTCATTAAGATGTCGGTGCTTTCTGTCTGCATTCTTTTCCCCTGGTCCTGCCTGGGCTCCACCGCAATCGGTCCCACGTTCAAGTCCACCCTCCCACTGCTGAGTTTGTGATGTCCTTCAACTCTGCTGAATCACCCTTCCACCTCCACTGCCTAGCACCCACCATATTTTTTTTTTTTTCACAACGTGGCTCAGATCTCAACTCATCAGTGTAGTTATTCAACAAGCATTTATTGAACTTGTAAGATGTACCAGACCCTGAGCCGGAAGGCCAGTATGCAGAGGCGGGCTTCTTGAAAACTTAATGCCTGAAGTTTAAAGGGATAGTCACTTACATGACTATGACATATCCAGGGTGCTGAGTGGGGAGACCAAGGGGTCAAGGGTAATAAAGGAGCATAAAGGACGTAAATGATGACTGGAGGTAGAGGAGGGAGTCGTGGAAATACATATCACCTAACGCTAATCCCAGACACTTTCTAGCCTTCATCACATGTACTCATCTGATGATTTTAAAATATGCAAACTCATGGTCCAAACAATGGCGGAGAAGGCTCAAAAGAGTGTGGAGACTGCTCCTAGAGCAGTTGCGTGTGCAGAAAGTGAAATCCGGGGTGATGTAACTGTAGGACCTAAGACGGTGATTCACTCTAAAGCACGAATTATTGCAGACGCTGGGCCGATAGTGATTGCTCAAGGTAACCTCATAGAAAAACAGGTGCTTATCATAAATGCTCACCCCGATAATATCACTCCTGAGGCTGAAGATCCAGAACAGAAACCTATGATCATTGGTTGGCTGTTATTCCCAAGCCATGAATATGGGAGATAATGTTATCGAATCGAAAGCATATGTGTGGGCATCACTGGGGCTTGCTGCAACCTGAATACGTTTGAAGTCATCCCTGAGAATACAGTGATCTATGGTGCAGACTGCCTTCATCAGGTGCAGACTGGGCGACCACCGCCCCAGACACTACAGTTGGATTTCCTGATGAAAATCTTGCCAAACTACCACCGCTTAGAGAAGACTACGAAAGGAAGCTCAACTCCAGTGGAGAACTAAGAACAATATATGGCATCAAGATAATAGTCTTTGACCACTGTCTTTTGAAAGGGCCACACTGTTCATGCACTCTTAGCAGCTAGTTTACAGAATACATGTTGACTTTATTTTGTAAAATTGAGTCAGAGAAAGGTAATGGATTTTCACCGTTAACTGTCTTTTGTAATTTATGTAAAATACATTATTTTCCTATATCCTTGCTCTTTTCCTGAGAATCTACAGGTTTAGTTTATTTTTCTTTTGTCATATAAAACGTTGGCCATGGATTTTAGTTGTATAAGGGACTACCCATGATAAGAAAGGGCATATTGTTATTATATTCTAGCATATATTGTACTAAATAAAAATGCTACTGATAAGACTTTTAGTGAACACAATTTTAATCGATTTTTCTATTTCTGTTAACTTTCCCAAAATAAATCTTTCCGTTTTTATTGCATGATATCTATATTAAAGCTAATGTGTTTATCGTCTCCTTTTGTGGCTTTGGAGCTGTTTAAAATTTCAGGTGAAATTTCAGCAGCTGTTGAATTAATTTGACTTCATTTTGTTTCCAAAAAAAACTGTTTTAATTTTCATTTTAGTAAAATAGAAATAATTAGGGAAAGAGTATTCAGTAGCATACAAAATCAGTAAGAATGATCTCTGATGAAAATGACAAGTAAATGAACATTGAGTGGTCCTGGGTTTCTGAGGATAATAAAACAAAAGAAATCTTGAAATATTTATAAACTTATGCCATGATTTTGGCACACTACTAGTGACTGTTGATGTTGTTGTCATTTATCTAATTACATAATGGCAGCATATTGAGGATTTTATTATAATTCTAAATTTTAATAATTCAAGTGTGTACATTTGATGGAACATTTTAACTCTTGAATCAATAGCTGTTGATTAATACTAAGACATTAAATACTAAAATATTTTCTCTTGAAATTAATTAATTAAAATAAAATAATAAAATAAAATATGCACCCCTGGACTGTACCTGTTAGAACCAGAACTTGCAAGAAAATCAGGCAAGATGACTGTGGGCTTCAGTGTCATGGTAAGGGCACCATCAGACGAGCCCACCAAGGGTCTCTGGACTCTCCTAACTTTGACTTACTCTTTACAATTAGGGCATTCTACTACTCTTTTAAGTGCAGAAGTTAACTTAGAGAAAACTAAGCTGCAAGCCTTGTTATAGGGCAGAGGTACAAAACATTTTTTCTCCAATGGCAATGTAAATCCCATAAAAATACAAATGACCTCTGCTAGGGTCAGAACCTTAGCCAATTTTGTGTCTAATTTAGCAATCTCATCCCAAGAGTTGTCCCTTCCTCCCCCTTGCTTCTTCAGCTGTATATGCACCAGTTGCCTGCCTTCTCCTTTGAAGCAGCTTCATATCCGACCAGTTCCTTCGTTAATAGAACCCTGACATGTGTATACTATGTATTGGCATGTACGTGAATTACATTTCTATTCCATTTTGAACATTATGCTCATGCCTGTCTCCTGGTTCTGTATCTCCACTAAGAAGGTTGTTTTGCTGAGTTTAACTTCCTATAATGTATATAAATTTCCTTCAAAATACAAAGCTAAAACTTTGTGATGCTTTCTTCCCAGTCTGATATCTCTTCTGTGTGCCCTCTGCCTGGTCCTAGATGATGAGTGGCTGCTTGGCATAAGTGGGTAACAGAATGAGGGCTGGCCTGCCAGGCTGTTTCCCTGAATACAAATCATAAGGGGCACACAGAGGCTCTGAAGAAGTATCAAGATGAAGAAAACTCTACTACAACAACTCTCAGGTAGGATATGACTTGGGGTTGGAGAAGAAATTCTCTGATCCTTTGTTTGGGGCGGGACTAGACATGCCCCAGGCCTGCTCACCTGCCTCTGATGAGGGAAGACCCAAGAACCTGGGCTTTTGTGTTGTCAAAGGAAGCAAATATATATATATTAAAAAAAAAAAAAAAAAGGAAGCAAATACAGGAAGGACTCGGCTTGACCTGTAGTCCCATTGCAAAGCTCAACTCTCCTCACATGGAGTGTGCATGAATGATGGACGTGTTCATTTATTCCACAAATGTTTATCTACACTTTCTTTCAGCCAGGCACTCTTGTGGACACTGGGGATAATAGCAGTAAAAAAAAAATAGACATAATAGCTGCCCTCTAGATTGAAGTATAGACTTTAATCCAGTGAGCGGCAAGGGATAATTAGAAAGAAATAAATGTGTATATGTCAAATTATAAGTGCCAGGAAGAAAAGTAAATGACACGAAACATTTAGGAGGTATGGCAGGTATCATTGAAAAGAAGAGTGTCAGGCCAGGCCTCTATGGCAAATTGCCAGGAGCAGAGACCCAAAGAGAGGGAAGAGAACTGAATATGACTATTAATCAAAGGCCCTAAGGCAGGAACAGCTGTGGCCTGGGGAACTTTCAGACAGAATCAGTGGCACGAGGTCCTGTGGTCCTCTAGGTGTGGTAGAACTTGAATTCAAAGACAAAATGAGACCCAGACTGATAGTCCATTATAAGGATTTGAGGTTTAGTTCTGAAAGAAATGGGATGTTTGAGGATTTCGAGTTGGAAAGTAACATGATCTGGCCTGTGCTTTAAAAGGATCACCCCCTTTTCCGTGTTGAAAACGGACTGCAGCTCAGTGGACAAAGACTAAGGGAAGGGCAGAGACTAGAAGAACAGTGAGGAAACTGACACAATAGTCCAGGCAAGAGGTGGGATGACTTATAACAGGAATGGAAGCGGAGAGAAGTAGTTGGATTCTGGCTAGAGCTTGACCCTGATGATGGGTATAGCCGTTCTAATAAAAAAAAAGATGACAACAAATCTTTAGGGAGTTGTTCAGTACAACACATCTATAGGATACTGCCTGAAAAGTTAACAGAAGTCAGATTTAGGAGTCCTGTTCTAGGTGAATTACAAGAAAGTTGTGACCCATTCATGTACACAAAATTATAAGCTCAGCAAACAGCTTAATAATAAAAATGAGGTCTGCCTATCTAGATAAGATTGGAGAGGTTTATCTTAAATACCCTCCAAAAGGTGTGTGTGAGGAGGGATGATGATGATGATGATGATGATGATGAGTGTGTATTAGAAAATTGACAAGGATGCTAAAAAGATTTCTGGTGAATCAGTTAACAGCACAAATTTGCAAACCAGATGAAAAAAACAAAAACAAAAACCTTCTTATCTCCCATTTATTCTCCTAGAATCCATTGTCTTTTTTAAAGAAACCTCTTCGTTCTTCCCACAGAAGTTCTTTCCCCAACTCCCTTTCACCTATTAAGTACAGAAACCTCTAACATTAACCACTTAGTAAGCTAGCTACATGTT